AGTATGTAATCATTTATTTGATATTATCTATTAAAAAATGTTAATTCAGACTCTATTAAAAAGTAAAACCTTAACCATTGAATTAAGCAAGCCCCCCTCCGTTTAATAGTTGATTTTTTACAATTGGGTAGGGTTTGGATTGTAAAACACCTAACTCATTATTTATTAAGAAAAAAAAAAAAAAGCTCATTTAAGCAAAAGCAAAGAACCATAGTGGTATCCGAAGAGTGAAATATAAACTCAGATACAAAATTGAGAAGTCTGCTAAATGACGCATGAATGATTAAGAATTACGTAGAATTAATATTAAAGATTTTAAATATAAATTTTAAAATAAATGAGAAATTTTTCGTAAAAATATGTATATTTTATCATATAACTCATCATTATATATACTTTTTTTATTTTAGTATGGTTGTTTTTTTTAAATTAAAAATTTAAAGATAATATTTATATTTATTTGTAATATATTTTAAAAAAAACGATAAAAATAAAATTTTAAGTGATAAGATAATTAATTAAAATAAATATTGTTAAATTAATTTAAAAAATAAAAAAATAATAATTAATTTAAAATAAAAAAATAATTATTACGGGAGAAAGATAATTCATACAAATTAAACAAAAGTGAGACGAAAGATTTGAATTGTCTACGTGTATTATGCCTTCAATTGCCATCACCCTTTTCCATCATGCACGTCTGCCTCTGGAATGAGGTTTTCATCTCATCCTCATGCACCTCGTTGACCTTGACTGTATTTTGTCTCTGCAACCTTTGGTTTGCCACGTTGAGCATTTATCTCGACAAATCCACTCGTTACGTTTATCAATATTTCTATGGTCCGTTGAATATCGAGTAGTTTAGTGATCATATTATTTTTTAAATATTTTTTTATTATATAATAAAAAATAATTTTTTTTTTCATTTCACTTATATATTATATGATTCAAATTTAAAATTTTTTATTTTTAATAAAAAAAATAATTATTAAATTATTTAAATAATTAATTATCTCTTAAAAACTTTGACTGTTTATTTTCTCTACGGATCCTTAGTTTGCCACATGGAGCATTTATCTCGACAAGTCCACGCGTTATGTTTATCAATATTTCTTTGGTCTATTGAATATTAAGTAATTTAATGGTCATATTTTTTTAGATAAGAAATGTTAAAATATAAAGGTTTAATTTGATAATGTTATTTTGTTATGTTTTATAATTATAATTGTTAGGAGTATTTTGTTATACTATCATTAAAGTATTTTAAT